TTTAGGATTTAGGTTTTTAGGGTTTAGGGTTTAGGGTGTAGGGTTTAGGGTTAAGGGAAAGAGGCCATACATAATCCATATAGAATCCCAGACCAGGTCCGCTGCTGGTGAGTGCGACCGGAGCCCCGCTGTCCAGTGCTTCGACATCGAGCCCTGGCACCAGAGGGGCGTTCGGATGTCTATGAATTTTCTTTCGGTTCTATAAGATTTCTAGGCTTTCGGTTTTTTTCTTTCAGGGGGTCTTGTAGGTTCTATCTGTCATGGCACGGGCGATTTTCATCTTAGCCTGCCAGTCCGAGTTGATGGCCTCCTGCGAAGGGGTTTAGGGGTTTCAGTTCACCGTGCAGGGTCTTTTTCTCTCGCGCAAAGCCCAGACAAAAAAAAAAAACGGATGGTTTGATAGGTTCTACAAGAGTTCTATATTCTTGGGCTTAGGCAAACTTACAGGGCTTAAAAGCGGTGTTGACTTTTTCGTCTTCGATGTGAAGCCAGACAGCTCAAACCATACGCCCTGACCGCCGCCCCCCCCACCCCTTGTGGGGTTTGGTATACCTCGGGGCTGAGTAGGTAAACTGTAACATCCTTTATCTCTTTGGGGCACTATAGCTCGAAAGGTTAACTTATTTGCGGCTAAAGTATTCAGCCCCTAAGTGTAAGGTTGGCATTGTTGAGATGTCGCCATGTGATATCGAGATCCCAAGCCTCCAGCAGGTACGTACAAGGATTCCAGGCGCAAAAGCAGATTCCGCGCCCAACCCACACCACTAGAGAGCGGGGCGGAAGGCATTTATTGATTCCACAGGGGCTGATAAAACCTTGACATAGAAACTACTGTATCGGTTATGGCAGGTTCATGTAGGTATAACTGCATTTACGTCCTCGGTTTCGCTGTCGCTGTTTCTTGCCTAGCCAGGAGTTCCGTGGGTGCTGAGCTGGAGCTCACCCCACAAAATGCGGCGCAGGTCGCGGGATCATGGGGAGAAAGCTTCTTAATGAAACTCCGCCACGCGAATCCTGACCTACCCCAAGCCCCAAGATACCTGTTTCCATTTTCGGGGTTCCTTGCTAGGGTTTCCCTATACATGTCTTTGAAGCGGTGAGTCTTGGAGGTTAACGCAACCCTTTCACCTTAAGCCCACCCTACACGCTGAACCGAATGCCCCATTACAATCCCGATCCACGGAGGGTGTGTTTATCAATCAGGGGCCCGAACATCTCCATGCGCCAGACAACCCGAAAGGCATCTTCCAAGCGGCACGAAGTTTTAAGGGCCTTGGATTTAAGGCTTAGGGTTCAAGGGGTTTCGAGGGTTCATGGTTTTTGTATTACATCTTAGGAGTAAGGCCCCTTGAAAGATGGTTTTTATTCATCAGGGGTCTACATGAGATGCAAGGGGCTTGGAATCAAGCCCGGAAGCCGTTCAACCTTCGTCCTAGATGTTAGGGTTTAGGGTTTAGGGTTTAGGGCACGAATGCCAAGGCACGTGCAAATCCAAAACTACATGGGACCCAAACCCTCTACACGCTGGCCCCCAAACCCCAAGCCCCTAAAGCCCTTAAAGCCCCTAAACCCTAAACCCGAAAGAGTGAATTAACGCATTTCGCCAATTACTCGGGCAAGCAAAAATCGTAAAGCCTAAGACTACTTATATTTCCTTTTTTGTTTTATTGATTTTGTAATTTATGAGGTAACCCCCAAAAAGGGACTAGAGTGGAGACTATACATACTTTGCAAACTTGGAAGCTCTGTTCGGTGTTCGGCATAAGGCTGCACATTACTGTAAAGTACACCTCCTGGCCTAAGCCAAGCAATTAGCGCACAACCTTGACTAGAAACCAAGTCGTAATTCAACCTCCAATCCTAAGCGCAGCAACCGCATAATATACAAGCCGAAATAATTACCAAGAACATTTCCTTTGGGTTCTTTATTATATCTATAATCTATACTATGGAGGAGCCCAAAACCCTATTCTAATGATTAAGGCCCCTGCATTAGAAGTCCTTGTCGAACCCTTGACATGGCTTCCGAAACTCCCCACGCTCCCAGCCGAACATTAAGGCACAAAGACAAGAGGTTCAGGATTTAGGGTTTAGGGGTTTAGGGTTTAGGGTTTAGGGTTCAGGGTTTAGGATTTAGGGTTTAGGGGCTTAGGGTTTAGGGAGCAAAAGCTGCCAGTAGATCTGTACCTGTTGCTGTAAGGGTTTAGAGCTTTCGACTGCCAAGTTACCAAGTCCACAAGCCACTAAGTTCACCAGGGATGTAACAACTATGGTCTACAGTCTATAGTTACGCAAGACCGTATTCAGGCCCTTGTTTCAACGCCTACAAAACTTTAACGCCCTAAGCCCTAAAACCTAAACCCTAAACTTTTATAAACCCTAAATCCTGAACCCCTAAACCCTAGTAAAGGCCCAACAGATCTAATGAAGCACTCTTCCAGTTATTCAGCCCCCGGAAGCCTTCACCCTAAGTCCTGAAACTCTAGAACTTCCATCCTAGTCCCTAAGCCTTGTTTAGGGTTTAGGGTTTAGGGTTCAGCCCTGAAACCCTGAAGCCCTAAACCTTAAACTCTACACCCTGAAAGCCCCAGGCCCCAAAAACGCTAAACACCCCCAAAGCCTACGTCCTCACTTGGAGGTGCTCCAAAGCGCGAGCCCCTTTTTGACGCTCTTCTGTTTGTTGAGGTTCAGGGTCTAAGGCTTTGAGTTTGAGGCTTAGTGACAGCTTAGGGCTTAGGGTCTAGGGCCTACGGTTTAGGGTCTACGGTTTAAGGTTTAAGGTTAAGGGTTTGAATTGACTTATATTTTTTGAGGTTCATGGTCAACGGTTTAAGGTTTAAGGTTAGGGGTTTGAGGTGTTTCTTTTTTTTTGAGGTTCCGTGTCTACGGGGTTTAAGGTTAAGGGTTTGATTTATTTCTGTTTTTTGAGGTTCAGGGTCTAAGGTTTACGGCTCAAGGTTTAGGGTGTCAGGTTCACGGTTTAAGGTTTTGCAGGTTTGGTTCGGGGTTTAAGCATTCGAGGATTTAATGGTTATGAGGTTGAGTGTCTAATTAGGGTTGTGGATTTGTACTCCTAGTTTCAGGTCAGCCCCAGAAATTCCCATCCGTTTACAGAGGGAATGTACTATAAATCATACGATGGATCCCCCTGTGCTTGACAGGGTTTGGGTTTTGGGGTTGTAAGGTTTTGGGTTTAGGGAGTACTTCGAAGGCAAATTGCCTATTTGAGCCCTTAGACCCTGGAATGCAGTACCTCTTTTTCCGAGATAACCTCCTAAGACCCTATACGTAAAAACTACCGTGACCAGCAAAAAACACAGTACATTTTGGGATCTAGGTTTGGGTGGGAGCCTGACAGTTCAAGACAAGGGTTAAATGAGGGGTTTTGGGTTTCAGGGGTTCGTCGTTGAGTTGCCTTAGGCTTGATGCTGTTCATGCTCTTGCTCTTCTCAGGGCTTCTCAAGGAAACAGAGGTGTGGCGCT